GGSCCCCAGAGCTGGATGCAGCCCTGCAGGTGGGGTCTCAGCAGARCAGAGCAGAGGGGCASAATCCCCTCCCTCCCCTGCTGCCCACGCTGCTYTGGATGCAGCCCAGGASACGTTTGGCTCTCTGGGCTGTGAGTGCTCATTGCTGGGTCATGTCCAGCCTCTCACCTAACTGCACTCCCAAGTCCTTCTCATAAGAGCTGCTCATCCTCCAGCCTGTGCTGATACCAGGGCTTGACCTCACCCACATGCAGGACCTTGCACAGTTATTTAACATTTTGAAAGCAAAAAGCAAATAAAAGCAAGCATTATATTAAATATCTTGCATCACACATACTTGTCAGATTTAACATCTATACCCAGCCTTAAGAATTGTACTGGCTTCATGACACCCCACTGAAGAGTGTGATCATGGAAGTAAAAAGAAAATCCCGCCAACACTTTACCCAAGACACTTCTTAGAAAAGAGCAAGTGCACACAATTTCAAGTTAATTATTATCATAAAACAGATACTTTCCTCAACTTACCACATCATTAGTTTTCTTTGTAGGGAATTTTTATATCCTGGATTATGTGTGCTCACTTGGGAAGACTCCAAATACAAATACTCCAAATTCAACTGGAAGGGCATAACTGGAAGGACATTTTCTTCTGCTGAGTTTTTATTAAGATCAATGATGTGCAAGGCAAGATATTGCAGAACTGAAGTTACTTTTCCACAACCAGCAGTGGTGAAAAACAAAAAAGCTGACAGACCTATTTACTTATTTGGGGGAGTGAACAACACAATGGCTTTTGCTTTGTTTCATGTCTTGAGTATGAAACTTCCTTRAGTATCAACTTCCTTGATCAATTTGATTCTTAAATTCTTGATATTAATTACTCTTGAAACTTTCAAATTCACACTTCAAAGCTGCTCAACCCTCTAAGAACAAACCAATGAAGTGACTCAGCCTCTGAGAACTGTAGCATTCACCATTTAGATATGTTCACCGTCCATTCATATTAGATGTGAAAATCAAAGTTAGAAGCATGTAAAATGACACTGCAACATAAAGAATTCAACACAGTACTTAAAATTTTTCACTCACTGAAAAATGTATTATATTAGACACGTTTAGTAAGAAGTATCATTGTTCTGGTCTGTGTTGCCCCTACAGCTGTTGCTGTTACTAAAAAGCTAACATTTTTAGTAAGCAGCAATTTCACTTTAGAAAGTACAAGTTTTATTACTGGAATGATAATTCCTAAGCAGCCCGTCACAAATCCTACTGACCCTTCACACCAGGTAGTTGTAGAGAGGTCCTGCCCAAGGTCAGGAATAAGTATTTATGAATGCATCACATCCGCCTCTGAGATTTTAAAAAGCATACAAGGAGGGAACACACATTTTTCAATGCTAAACTTGTGTAGGCACCACACCAAGCTAAAGGCTAGGAAAGGTGCCCAGCATCATGAGATTTGTGACAAAATACAAAGTAAGAAGTASTGATTCCTTCATTAATGTAAATTTCAGTGTTGAAGGAGCTGAATCCATGACATTTCCAGAGCACAATGTGCAGCAGCACTCATCATCATTATGCAGGAGGAATCAGGCAGAGACCTGAGCCCAGTCATATGTAACCTGCTGAGTCCAACATGTGATGTCAGCTTTCAGTCAGAATTCAGGAACATGCAACTTCTGAATGTGTAAACTTAGTTTTATAACTATAGGATTATGCTATCGGTGCTTCTTGCACTTAACATATGGGACATTGCTACCAAAAAAAACAACAAAGTAAAAAAAAAAAAACAAAAACCAAACTCCAAAAACTTTGACTTCTCAGGGGAAAAACAGCAATCCAAAGTACAGTAACACTACAACTGACAGACAATAACTATTTGCAACAGAAATTCCTTTTCTTGCTTAACCACAGCATCATACTGTTTTCAAAGTAGCAGTTTTTGAGTTGGGATCTGATTTACATTTCAGGTAGAAATGGCTGATCAATTTAATCTGTGGAAATTATTCCCATTGTTTTGCACACAGAGAAGTGAACCAATAGCACTGTATTCAGAAGTTCTTTGTTTCTAGAGGTAAATTTGATCCATCASAAACCCTCTAAGACAAAAATCCCTATCAAAACTTTCTGTAAAAATTGCAAGAGAACATGTCAAATTAATTAATTATAAGTCAAARAATCAAAGAAGAATTATAAAATCATATATGTTTAGGGTTGGAAGAGACCTCAAAGATCATTTAGTTCCAACCCCCCTGACATGGACAGGGACAGCTTCCACTAGACCAGGTTGCTCAAAGCCCYATCCACCCTGGCTTTGAACACTTCCAGGGAACACCYACAGCTTCTCTGGGCATTCCAGTGCCTCGCCACCCTCACAGTGAAGAATTTCTTCCTAATGCCTAACTGAAACCTGCTCTCTTTCAGTATGAWGCCATTATCCCCACATCTCCTCATAAAAAATACCCATCCAGCTCTCCTGTAGGGCTGCTTGACATCAGCAATGGTCCCACAGGTGCTCATGTTACCAATGACAYGATGATTAGCACTGGCTTTATCCCAGTAACACCTCCAGCAGTAAGACCAACAGACTTTGCTCAAACACCCAGACAAGATGCACCTGAGACTTCAGACTCCAGGAAACAGATGTGTACAGCAGCTGCAGAAGTGGACTAAGAGCAACGCTACTGCAATTATATTAAACTGCCAGACTCAAGTTAATGACTGCATCCAAGTGAAGCATGCTTCGTAGTTATTTACTCATAAACAATTTATAGCAGCAGGAGTCCATGTTCCTTGTGTAACTGGACATTTGGAAGCCACAGGATGACACCAGCCTAGAAAATTAAAGAGGGATGGGAATCTGTGTAACCATGTATAATGAAGAATCAACGAACAATTTCTTATATTACTCTAAGATTTCCCACAAACACAGTGTTTCTTTCACCACAAGAAAAATTAGGAGTGAAGACTACAAGAACAGCAGTAAAAATATGGGGATAACTGACCATCTCTCAACATGAAAGAACCAAAACTTTTTAAAATTTACAATAGATACCATTCTGGTTTACASACTAAAAAAAAGACCAGGAGCTGGAGAGCTGATGTTGTGTGCAATACTTTTGAACCTTGTACATTCCAGTTACCTAAAGTAGAAAATATAGCACAGGTAAAAATCCAAGAAAGCTGACTTTATTTCATCTGAAAATGGTTGAGGGGCAGAAGGCAATTACATACCAGAAAAAATAATTAAATACGGATGTATGGGGATACAAACCATTGCTGCAAGAAACAGAAAAAATCCTTTCAGAATTGCTAGGTGCTTTATTTATTAACTGCAGCCACCATGCAGTAGAGCAGCCTTCTGCCTATCCTTGCAGGGAGCATAGCCAGTTCACAGAGAAAGGAGAAGGAACATGGAACTGGAAAGCATATGCTAAGTAGAAAACATACAGATTGCAAAAGTATATTCAGAATTACAAAGAAAAAAGATAAGGATCCCTGGATGGTGGAAAAGAACAACATACACCGCAGAAACAATACCATGGACTCTGCTGTTTCTGGGCAGCTGTGCACATGTTAATCATGTTTTAGGGYGATTAGAAATATTTTTTTCCTTAYTGAGAGATTTATTTCCATACCAGAGGTTATGTGTCTTCTCTTCATAAGTCCAGGAAGCTATCTATAGTAATTTCATGAGATGAACTTCTTTTGCTCCAGTGAACAATGCAAGCAACCACACAGGAAGGAGTAATGCAGAGCATTATGGGAAAACATTCTCAGAAARCAGAAGAGATTTAAAAGCTTTCTGATGTTATGGTAAACACGAATAAAGCCACTTTTCCTCACCTGCTGTCATTGTTCAAAGGGAGGGAAGCAGATACAGAAAGAGTAGGGTGTTGAAATCAGGTTAAAAGGTGTTGCAGGATGAGAACTGTCCGTACTTCAGGTGAGAGAGTTTTGTGGAAGCTTGGAGACAACCTCTGCTCTGTAAGAGGACTGGAAGTGTGAGTGACAGATCATTTCTGAAATGTTTAATAGAGTCCCACAGGCTACCAGAATCATATTCAAGATGTCAATCCTCCTGTGGTGTCTACATCATTACAAGTAGATGACAAAACTATAAAAATTATGATAATGYCATTGGCTCAAATAAACCGGAATTTTCTCTCCCCACCTCCCCTCCTTCAGCTGTTTTTGCCCCAAGCTTCAAAGCCTTATTTGCATTCATATAAAATCTGTTTACAGTCAACCTCACTGTGATACTGGAGCTTCTCCCCTCGCAYCCCCAAGACACAAAGCAAAGCTGGCCAGGTGTCTCTAAACCACAGAGCCAGCTGCTCCAAACCAAGCTCACAGGAAATAGCAAGGAAAATATGCAGCATTTGACACATCTGGAATAGATTGCAGAGTCTTTGAAAATGGTGTCCCAGTTCCCTTCCTCCTGCTGATGAGATTTCAGGCTTCCAAACTGATGCATCAACTATAGAGGATTAGATAACGTGTGCATTTTTAACCCTGCATATTCTTTCTGACCAAATGAGAGTTTTTCTAATGTAGTACACAAAGTATCTGTATGAAGCTTTCGATAAAACACACTGACCAAACAGAAATAATTCTACCAGAAGTTGCTACTTAATATAGGAAAATGTATATAGTTGAAAAATAGTACTAGTTGATTTTGGTAAGCACAGAAAATGAAGCAATATTGCATGCCTTGCATGGTTGTATAAACTCCTTAAAAGTAATGTCCTCAGTTTGTTGTCATTAAAAAATGAGATGAAAAAGGGCAGGGAGGATTGGTTAGTACCTATTCTGCCAAGTAATTTGTCTATAATTCTATGCTGACACAAATGCTGCAGTGTGCGTTTTTCAACATGAAGTACAAAAYAAACTCAAAAAGCATTAAGTCTTAATTAGCAAAACAAAGCAATGCTTTATTATTCGCTTCTTTTTCATCTGGACAATGAATGCAAAAGAACACAGAAACAGAAGTTTAGGAAGAAGGAAATCCCAATTGRATATTGAACATAATACTTAAATTTTTTCTTTCCATAAAAAGCTGAGAAGTAGAGGTGCCCCTAAAGTTTTAGTCACTATCAGTTATTTCTGAAAGATTAGGAAAATGAAAATGTTTACATATGTAAATTTAAACATTCATTATAGATACAAAACTCAATACAGCACTAGCTTAACACAACATAAAACTCACTGGTTTTAATGTTAGTAATAAAAAAGGAGAATTCTAATTAAAAAGAAAACTGGAGGAAACTATTCGTACTTTTTTTCCTCRAAGGTGCAACCAACAGCCAATGTATTTTTGCAACTGAGATTCCAGTTGTACAAAGGACTGAGAGATGTCTTCTCCTATTTAAGAAGAAGCATAAATTTCACAAACTTTAAAAGAAACCACACATGCATGAACAGTAGACAGTACCCTTTAAAGAGATGATATTTATAAGAATGTAATGGTATACCTTAAATGAATAAAGGGAGAGGTAAAACACACATTTTCTACTTTCAGAGCTTTAAAAGATTTTTTCCTTCATAGATTACTTCCCAAATTACCTTGCATTTAAACTAGCTTGTCCTTATGAAATGGCAAAGTATTTATTCTAAACAAGCATTCTAAAGTAGCTGTATGATTTTTTTTGAGAAGCCCTCAGTGTGGATGTCATATTTATAGTGACCTGAAGAATGCAAACCTCCAAAATTACATCTACTACTAACTAAACCTTTAATAGCCAATTAACAAAAAATATGTATATAGCTCTAAGACTAAACAAAATTTAGAGAATATGCTGTTACAAAATATATTTTGACTTATTTCCTAAGAAGCAATTAAAACAGTCATTTATGCAGTTATTTACAGGGGACTCAAAGTGTATCAGTTTTAGCACAAACCAGTATATTAGTTTGGATTCAATAAAATATTGGCGAATACAAGTTTGTGACAAGGAACTCTGGGGTTTAGTAAACTTAAAAATGTTCTATACAATCATTAGATGAATCTAAATTATATAAAAAAAACTGTCTGAACTGGTTAATCTGAATCATTTAATGCATTTCATTSTACTCAGAAGTTCAGATCACCGAGTCAGTGGTACATACAAGCTGTGAAACAAGTTACCACTCAAATCTTTCAGATACAACAAGCACAGATTAACTGAGTCTGACAGTACCTAATCTATACTTACAGATAGTTTGTTCTTACTTCAATACTATCTTTTTAACAAGCACATATACAAATGTGCTAAAACAAAAGGCAGCAATTATAAATATTTACTAGAATGACCAGAACTGGTACTTGAGCATAAACCATCCTGCCATTCGTTTTTGAAGCCATATTTTCACTAATTTGCCTTCTGGTTTTAGTAGTCTTGTATCTTATTAACTTGGAGGGATACAGATCATCTGGAAGTTTCACACCAGCATAGGAAAGGAATGTCTGTTCGATGCAGTCTGGAGATAAAGAAAAAGTTGTACTTCAGTTCATCACCATGACTCACCAGAAGCAGCATTGCTAAGTGACCAGCAAACCTGAACTGCAAGCAAAACAGTAGTGGCCCCACTCCCCCATGTCAGGATGGGRGAAAAAAAAMMCAATAATTTACTRTTATTTTATTATKATTTCAAAAGAACACCTGAGAATATTTTCCAACTGTAGGGGTGTTATTCGTTACTTATTAAAACAATCACTGTATAGGAGTCTCTGTAGAGGAACTTGCCTATGCAGGAACAAGGACATTTTAATGTGATAGCAACTAATTTGAACTTCTTGTTTCAGTACTTAAGATGCTTCACAAATATAATACCTGTGTGTTCATCTCTTTAAACACTTCACAGACCTTATGAGACCACAACCCCTACACCTCAGTGGTGCTTATAGGTAAAGAAAAACTACTGAATTCAGATAGGACAACTCATTAACTTCAGTAAATGCTGGGTTAAACAGTGTTTTGTCCCAAAGCAGAATTTTATCTGCAGAAGAGCAAGGAATCCCAGACTGCATTATTTTACACTCTCACTATTCTCTTCAAACTACAATTYGCAAATACCATTTAGTCCTAACAACCATTTGTAAAAGAAATTTTTTTTAATTACTGTACTGAAAGCKAACATGTTTTCAGTCTCCTCTACAAATTTTGGTATTCTGAAGAGATGAACACAACACTAAGAAAATAAGCCATATGTAACTATTGCAAAAAGGAAATACTGCCATGTAGCTGCCAATTTAGAGTAGTTGCTAAAAGGCAATATACACCTCAATTAATTAACTCACTGCATAATTTGGACAAAATGGCATGTTGAAAAGAAATATTTATGTTACAGTTTTGTGAACAGATTTTTTTCAGAATCAAGTGGGTATTGTATAGCACATGTTCATCATTAGCTGTTTTTAAATTGCTGATCACTTTCTTATATATCAGGAAYCGGTTTCTTCCCCCATTCAAATACTGTCTCTGCTTTCAGGCTTCAAAAATGCATTGTGGCTTAATTCAAATTGATCCTGTGACCAACCCTAGAGAAAATTTATAAAAACCGTTTTTTTTTACAGCAAACATAGCTTCTCAGTATGTAAAATGGTAGTCTTTAAGCATTTTTAGTAAAGTGCAGAGCAATAAAGAAGTGCTGCAATACGTATTTCTAGGCTTAAATTTATCTTGTCATGCAATTTAAATTTAAAAAGTTGAACACAAATAAAGACCCCTGGTTTAAGTTTCATAGTGAAGTCCAATAAATCCACTTAACGGATAAATAGTATTTAAAAAAAAAATGGATATGTGCCAGACTGATTAGTCAGCTACCTGAAGGATACATAAAGCACATTGTTGCATACACAATAATCATACTTGTACATGACTGTCTTAATCCAGTCATGTAAAGAGAGACAATACTCATCTATTGTTTGCATGTTCAGACCCATGTCAATCAGATTTAATATGCAGGCAGATTAGWGCTTCCTAACTTGCTGACAACAGGTTCACTACTAAAGCCAGTTTTCCAACACAAAGGACAGCATCCTGACAGCAGCAGATACTGTTCCTTAGGAAAAACAACACGTTCCTCTTAATTTTTGTTACTGAACATTAGTTCCAGGGAAGACTGAAAGCAATGAGGATGCATAATTTCTTTTCAAATAAGAGAATTCATACATCTCCAAGCCCATGAAAAATATATACACAATATTAATGACAGAYGTTCAAAACCCATGTAACTTCTACTTCATGACAGAAGTTTGATTATTTATTTTAAATATTTCATTCTTCTCCATTTTCCTGGGAAAGATACCCTCATCACTAAAAATTGCTTACCTTTAGTACAAGAAAAAAAATCTTGTTCTATGAGCAGCTGCCATGCTTTCAGACATATTTCTGACTTTAAGATAATTAACAAAGCCTCGAAAGAACAGAAGGAGTCCTGAAAGTGTAGAAAATATACAAAAGTAAGTATATTAACATAAATACACACTATCCCACATTATTCTTATTAACATAATTTTTAAAACCTAGCTTATATAAAGTAAATTGGAGTCTTTTATATATGATTCACAAATTCAACGAGTCAGATTTTCTCTTGTGATACAAGGATTCAATTTTAGGGAAGGCTTTTCAGAAATTTTAGTGATTTTCAGTTCAAGTAACATCTACTAAAAAGACTACAYGGAAATAGTTACAAAGAAGAAATAAAATCCTGAAAAGTAAAAGAATCTGATTTGCAAATTCCTTTCAAGTGAAATTCCCAAAATAAATTCACTAGTGTGTTAGAAAACTACCTGGTCCACGAAATGTACCTTTAGCAATGTGTATGATAAATGTACTGCATGTGATGAGAGGAAAAAAAAAAAAAAGACAAAGTAAGGATGGCTCTAGAAAGAAGCCAATAGTGAATTATAGTAGACTATGACTTGAGATTTAACAATCTATGAAAAAACACCTGTCCAAGAGGAGGAAGAACAATTGCCAAAGAAAATTATCCAACATATGTCAGCATTACATTTTTTGTCAACTCCACATTTCAGAAYCTTTTAAAATATTTACATTTAACTGCATTCAAAAGAATATTTCAAGTATCAGGAAAAATATGTACACAATAGTCACAGAGAAGTTACACTTGCAACAACGGTACCTTGAAGATACATGCTTGTGTGTATATATACACACGCATTAAAACTYCAAAGGTTCAAATGAAAAACTAAACTGAGGTTTAACAAGTTCAGTAAAGGAYTAAATTATTTTCTTTCCTACATCATGCACTTTTTCTTCCTGSAGTTGTGGATGAGCCCCTGATTTACTCCTATGATAATTTCTACTCTAAATTATTTGTTTGTGATTTTTTAAACTTTCCTTGTGATTTTTTAAGGCAAWGCTTCATTAAAACATGCATGAAAACAAAATAAATGACAACAGAGAATGCTTTGCTCACCAGTATAACTTTACCTAAGCTGGACATATTTCKTTGACTGTGGTGAATTCTGCACAAAGAATGCAGTAAGATGTTGCAAGTCTACTACAAAACCTGCTAGTCCTAGGCTACCAGAGGTAGTATTCTTTTCAAGAGAAAAGAAKCTGAAACAGCAACATGAGGGCAGGCAGCTCTTTAGGTACTTGAAAGCCTATTTTCTGCATTATGCATCTTGGAAAACCAGTCCAAGTTCAATCCRTATTTTATATTTCTCTGTTAAGAGAAGGRRAAAAAAAACMAAAAAAAMCAAACTTCCCACTTTCCATTGTGTTCCTCAATGAGAAACACTGGCTAACATTTAAATTTAAAATTTAAAAATGTCTCTCCCCAATTTTTTCACTGTACATGACAGCTCTTTCGAAGTAAACCATTTTGCTTTTCCCTGACACATAAGCAGATTTTTTCCAGATGCTGCAAGAAGGAAAACAAGCAGAAACAGATTGGTGAAAACCAGAAGAGAGGAGATGGCAGTAGGTGGGCTCAAAGATGTCAAAGGGCTATGTAAAAGGAAGATTCCAACACATACACTTCTGCAGAAATGCTGAACATACAATTTTGTGTGCTCTAAAGGGAGGGTTATCCAAAACAACAAAACACAGATCTGGTTGGCGGTGTTACCCTGACATGATAATACTCCTCTGTGTGCTGCTAAGTAGCCTTTTTGGATTAAATCCTTCTGTGGTGTTCCAGCAGTCCCATGTAGCCCCTTTATCAATTTTAAACATTGTTGGCATATTTCATGCAAAACATACATAAGACAAGGGAATGCTKACTGCTGGATGCATAGTGCATACCTCAGAGTGTCTTTTATTCCAGGGCATATTATAAACTTTGTGATTTAAAGAAAAAATAAAAAATCCTCAAACAATTCAGACAAAACAATAAGGCTTTCCCAAATTAAAGTGAGCTACTTCCTGAACATGTGCAAAAGACCAATAAAAAAAACCTATAGCTTTTTCCATAGACATGGTGGGGGGGAGTGCTAGGGGAAGAACAAGCTATTTTCATCMTAGTGAAAAAAGGTGCCAAACCTCAATCTCAGGCACCACAGAGCTTGGTTTTAATTAAAGACTTATCTGGAGATGTTTGTGCCTGAAAAGAGTGATTTCACCCACTTCAATATAATAACCTCAAACAATACGAAGACACTCAAGGCACCAATGCTGTTATGTGTTAAAGATTTGCATTTTATAGGTTTCTACAAGCAACCAAGTGTACAACAGTAGAGCAAGGTGCGCATTAGAAAGTCTCACAAATGCCCTTGAACACCATTAAAAGGCAGATAGAAAACGTTTTAGGTAATGTTGTTTAAAACTTTTGACATTTTTTGCAAGAGAAATAGCAAGTCACAGTCAGGATCTCAGAGCTGGTGTTTTTTCTTAATTTTCTCAATACTTCATTCTAACACTTGTTGTTAGTCACTTGAATCAATTGATTCAAAGGGAAGAGTGCCATCTACTGAACCAGCAACAGTTTACCGTGCTTCCAGAGCTGGAAATAGAAATTAAAATGCATAGCAGCATTCACTTCTATAAAAGAAAATCATTCCTGATTCCATATTCAAAGTACAAAATCCACAGCTGGAGAAAAGGTAGCACAGTTGGGGTTTGGTATATCCTCAATAAAAACAAACAGAAGAGCAGAATTTGATGTGTGTAAGACTTTGAACATGGGCAGGCAGGGCACTCAAGAGAAAGCTGACATCATGGGACCACTGTGATCAGCAAGCATGAAGCCGTTCTCTCATCCTACTGAGCAACTACTGATGCAGTTTGCATTTCTAAAGACTCAAAAAGGACATTTTGACCTGTGCACAAGACAGCACATTCCACCTTCCTGGGTTCAGTCACACTTCTTAAAATTTAATACTTGACATATAGGCTTATACGTGTAAATATTACATATCACTCACTTTTCGATATGTTCTCTACATAAAGCCAAAGTTTCATTATATAGTTCTGCACCCCTGGATCAGTATAAGCAGCTTAAAAAGCACAAATTACGAGTCTCAGTTTTAYACACAATCACTTATGCAGAACAAAACTTTTTGAGCTGCAGGGTATTTGAAGAGTCCACAGTTCACATAATAACACCACTGGTAATCGATAAACTCATTAATACTATGGAAATAAAAATAACACACACAACTATCAGCAGCAAAGGGAAAGCACATAGCTAATAAACATGTTACAAAACTGTTGTTTACAATGACATGATTCATTTTTGAATACTTCCACATCAAAATAGAAATTAATTCAACTGCCACTTACCAAGTACAAGAAATATCCACCAAAGCCAGTATTGTCCATTGAAATATCCAGTAAAATAATCTGAAAACTGAAATTCATATATGAAGCTTAGCTGTAGTAAAATAGATGACTAAGACATATGTAATGCACTATGCAAACAGAGAAAGCATAGAGGAAAAAGCAAGTTAAAAGAAAAGTAATATATCCTACTAAAATACAAAACTGGTATTTGTGCAGCACTTTAATATACAAATAAAATACTTCTAATGTCAGTTTGTGGCAAAGTAATTAAAAATCTCTAAAAAATGTGTGTGTGTGTATATATATATATATATATATATATATATATATGGAAAACGCCCTTGTATTACTTGCCAGTAATCTGATGTTTTTTATTATAATGAATCACTTCTTGTCGATTTTCCTTTTTTTTCCCCCCAATGCCTGCCATTCCAAACACATTACAGCAGCCTGCTGCTTTAGATATTAACACGAAAAGCCACAATAGTTTAATCTTATCAGACAGGGATGTTCTGCTGACCCCGCAAAAGAAGAGCTTTTGACCTTCTGTATACCCCCTACTGTTAATCGCTGCCACGAATACCAGCCCCATAAAGACCCCCAACTCATTAAAGTCTTTTCATTTTCAAACCAGCATTCAGTTCCCAGCAGTGAGCTGAACGCAGCCAAATGAACCTTGAAGTGCCATTTCAACTGTTCCTTCGAGTGACCATGGCAGACAGTTTTGTGYTCCCTGTGATGTGGGAGGCAGCTGGAGGGCAGGGTGTGATCGTACTGGAGACAGGTATCTGTGCCTTTACCAGACTCCAAACTTCATGCTTCACTGATAAAAAGGCTAATCAAATGTCTCCAAAACCCATACAAAAAGTAGAAATGGGGAGATGTGTGAAGAGTTGCCAGAAGGCGTAAAATAACCTACTTAGTGGCTCTGCACACTTTTCACACGCTTCTACCCTGCTATCATTCATTATGTTTACTGCATCCTGACAGTGTTTCCCATTTGCCCTTTCTAGGACATTTCAGTATATCAACCAAGAAGTGTGGGGAGGAAATAAAAAAAGGCAAACAAAAGAACCCCCACAAAAACAACAAAACAACCCAACCAAACAAAAACCAAAACCAGCCAAACAAAAGATACTGGGCCACATATGCAATCAGRTAAAAATCCAAGACATTATAAGAACTCTAGACATAGCTGGCTTTTTTCATTAAATCATCCACATGTTTTCTCCAGAATAAAGCCATATCATGCAAATTCTTTCAGGGTTTAATCCTATGTACTAGGATAATTAATTACTAGTCAAAAAAAAGGCAAGAAACAGAAATAATAAGATGAACTAAAGAATTGGTATTTACATTAACTCTATATTAATACTCAATTTCCAGGGTTTTGACAACACACCGACTTTGATCCCATCTCACTTGTTAGTCAATATTTTCAATTCTCTAAACATTATACATGTGTGTATATATACATATATATATATATATATATATATATAGACACATACATATATCAATACCCTTTTCCAAAAGTTACCATTTCATTTAGTTGGAAAGAAGATTTACTAAAACCAAACACTTGCCCACGTGCATTACTGTCCTCTCCTACTCTCCTTGGGCAGAATCAGCCACACCACAGAACTTCCCCAATAGTAAGACCATRCTTTTGTTCCCTCTGCTCCTCCTTCTCCCCAGTAAAAGCTGATACAGACCAAGCACAAGTGAATTCAGACTGTTTAGACACTAAAAAGTTTTCTAATACTGACCCTCAGTGAGAAAGGGTGATGCAAGCCCTCAAAAGAGTTTGTAACAAAGGAACAGAATAATTTGGTAGGCACAGGCCTGCTTGTGTGTCAGCATTAAAATGACTTCAACACCTCAAGAGGTTTCTGCAGTTATCTCTAGCTAAGGAGACAACAGAGGAACATAATGACCTTCACTAGGAGAAAAACCTCAACCCTGAGGCCTTGGAATCAGCCAGCTCTAATGTTTCTGAATTAGTAACAGATTACATACAAKAATTTAATTATAGTCTAGAACACAGTAATTCTTCAAGGAAGTTTACCATATATTCATTTTTATGTTTGTTTTAAGAACATTTTYAAGCAGAGAGAAGCAATAAAACTGACATAATGAGCAAGTTCTGCCCTCTGTTTAGGATGCCTTAAGGGAAGCTGAATATCCCCAATGAATGCATAATTGAAAAATTTATGTCTTCTCTCTCCTTCAAGATCAAGTCCATCCCAGCCCTTGTATTCCAACAAATACACCAGAATCTCATCTGGTCCAGCAGCATTCCCCTGCTCTGAATGAGCTAAAAAGGAATTTTTAAAAAAGCTCTAAGAAGGATGCAGTACATGTCCAGGAAGGACCATACAATCTTTCTAGGGCTTTTTTACTGTCGTGCTAAGACCCAATCAAGTTAATAAACCACACACACAGAGGAAATGAATTTCTTTCTAAAAATCATTGATGGCAGAACATAAAAGATATCTAAGTTGTCCAAAATCTTTTTCTTCATTAAAATGGATGAGATTTTAAATGTTGTGCCTCACAGTTACGAAGAATTTAAGTTCTGAAATCAGCATAATATTTCATCTAGCACCCGCTTAGCCAGCTAAGTAACTTGCATTTGGCTAATGTATCTTTTGGAAAAGTATCTMGTTTTGCAGTGAAAATATCAAGAATTTCAAATGGCAAAAATGCAACTAACTTCATATTCAAGTTGGACTTGATCCAATGTATCTTACAAGGAATAAAAGAATCAAATACAAGGAAGAAATGCTTTCTTATAGTCTCTTCCCAACAGGCATTTATAGTTCTTTTATAYAGGACACTACAATACCAGTGATATTTCAGGTACTTGCTCCACTTCTTCTGTAGACTGTTAAATACTTGTGCAAGGAATGAGTCATTCTGCATTTATTTTAGTGGAAATGTGAACATCAAATGCTATGTTAGGTAAAAATAGGAAAAATACAGATTTTTAATTTCCTCATTATATAACTGCTATGGGTTTGTTCYACAGAGTCTGTACAATGTGAACAAGAAACATACCCGTACAATGAGAATCCATTTGATCAGGGAGAGACCAAATCCACAGATTGCACCATACCTTCCAGCTATGGTATTTGTTATACAGAAGGATAAACAAAATCCAATCCAGTTGAAAATAAACGCCACTATAAAATAAAAGAAACAGTAGCTTCTGTTAATCTGTATAGCTAAGCAAACAGAGCTAACAGTAATTTCACTTTTAAACTACTAAGGACATGCTTACACAGTCAGTTAATTCCCTTCCGGTAATTCAGGCTTTCAGMGATTGACTTTGAACCCAGACATTCCCCATGGTATAGTCACTTAATGACAAAGCAAATGGTAAACAGGCTGGAACCTACTACTTTACACAAGAGAAAATTCCAACATAAAAGGAAGTATTACACTGCAATAGACACCTAACCAGATTATACTGGACATGAAGGGTAAAGTCACAAAAAGGACTGTAACATACAAGATTTGGATTAAAACCAAGAAGAAAAACCCTTGCTACACTTTTATAACCAAAAAATATAGTTATATGCACACAAATACATGAATGTATCAAAGCTGCATAGTCAGCTTTATCCAGTTTGGATTGAACAGAATAAAAGTATCCACTCTCCCTCTGTAAACATAAGTGTATAAAGGAAGATCAATTGAGAAGCTGATGTTTCATGGGTTTCTTTTAGATCTGTATTTATGTGTTCTCTTTTAGATCTATATTCATAAAGGCATAAGAAGCCTCAAAGTTTTGCACAAAAGTTGAAGAAATCAAGGAACAAAAATGACATTGAGTATAACAGCCACTCTTGCTTCAATTAACACTTTTACACAACCCCCAGTTTAACAACTTAAAAGTTTCATTTCTGCATATGTATTCGGCAATCAGCATCATCATCTGTATTGACTTCAGGCTGCATGCATTACATCAGAGTGTGAGAATTCACAGTCAGGGGAATGCCCCAGCCTTGGGAATCAGTGAGGGCATCTAAAAAGAAAACCTCAAAACAGAAGAGCTGGTGGAGCTGGAAGAAGACGACTCAGGAATTCTGGAGAAGATACGACAGTGGAAAACTGAGAACATTAGAGAACTCCACAGTAAACACAATCACAGAAGAGGGAAACAGGAATTGAAAAGGGGCAGAGGGGAACAAAACCTCTGCCCATAAAACCTTAATGTTTAAAATCTCRAACTTAGCTACATCAAATTCAGACATTAATCATCACACAAAAAAAAGTCTGTCTCTTCAGTTAAAGTTTGAACACACAACTAGGAAGAGAAAATTGCTCAACAGTTTTCTTTAATTAAAACATTTTGAAGTATTATCTATAAACAGCCACTATTTTTATAATTGAAGTCCTTGTAACAACTCTTCCAATAATCCACATGAAGATGCAATGATTTGCTCACAAATAGAAAATCAGTCTGCAAAACTGGAGTGGAAGTCCATGAACTGCAAAGAAATTCCAAGAGAAGTTTTGGAAGGCTCCACATAAACATAGTCATTTAGTACAAGTGAGAAAAAAATCTTGCTTTGGTCAGAGACATGGGTAATATATGGTGGCAACAAGCATTCTTACCTTTATACAAATTACTAATCTAAAATTACCCCCAAAAAATTAAAAAAAAAAAAAAACCCAAAAAAAAGAACCCACAACTTTAAGCAGATGCTGATCCAAACTGGCATATGCAGAGGGAAAAAAAAAAACCAAAACCAACCTAAAAAAAACCCCAACAGAACAACCCTGGGACCCTAACATTTACCTATCTTTCCAAGACACAGATAAAGTACTGACATTTGAGAGAGGCTAGATAAACTGTTTTGATTTCCCTATTTTAAGCAAGCTCTCCAAACTCAGTATCTTTTAGCAGTAACAGATTTCAAAAGCCCCTTACTCAATGCATTCTCTGATGCTGTCTAAGCATAAGAACACACTGCTCTTTCTCCCCATTACCCAACCTGTGACTTTGATTATGATTCCAAAGATACACGTGGTAAAAAGGACACAGGATAGATACGTCAGTAATTGTCTATGTGGACTAGAGGAATTCTCAGGAAATGCACAAATTTAATAGATATGTATTAAAAAAAAAAAAAGTAATTAGTAAATGCCTTATAAAAATCAGAAGTTTCCTAATAAAAAATACGCGAGGGGGGGAAAATTACTTTTTATCATTAAAGATGAAAACTAACAATTATACTTTCAAGTTGTACTAAAGGAATATTCAATATAGAATCCACAGTCACTGGGTAAGTATTTGATGGATATTTAACATCAAGGTATTTGCCCAGCTCTTGAAAGTAAAGGCAGCAGCATGTTCCAGTCCTGATCACTGCAAGGGGTTTTTTGTCTTTAATCAGTCTGCTGCATCAAGTTACATGAGTAGCTAATGTAAGCAGAAAAGATATAAACCTTATAAAAGCTGTAAACTATGCAAGTTCACACACTCCCAATAAAACTGAGGTACCTACAGAAGAGCCTCATTATTAAAGTTTTTATCTGTAACCATTTGCTAGAAAACTTGTACAATGAGGACCTAATAAAAAATCTGTGTCTTGAGCAGCATAAGGAATATGTTACTTCCACCTCTCTAAAACTCAAGCAATGTATTAGGGAGATTCTCCTAACACTGCCTTCATGTTTCATCGTTTTAACAAACTCAAGATGGGCAAAAATAAAGTCTACATGTTTTCTATCTTTCCCATTACTTCTCTCATATCCCTTATCCTACTGCTACTCTGAAAATCATTCTCCTTGTCTCATTCTGGTTAAAAAAAATATTGACCTCAGAAATGCACTGCCAGCTTCTGAACAGACTACAATTCCTTCCAATTGTTTTTTCTCTGCATCAAGATTAACCTCATTTGCCTATCTGTATATCTTTTTCCATCATGTGCATCCATGTGTATCTTCTTTCTGTCAGCCATGCACGTTCTCTGAGCTTTACAGTTTATACTGCATCTGATAAGAGTTACTGCAGTTAATTCCTGTATAATTTCTGTCTCAACTCTTTATTGCAATGAAAGTTGTTTGTGATTTTCATCCCTATGTTGCCACAGAGAAACSGCAGCAAAAGTTCTCTCATCATGATCAGGGAGAAAATAGATTGGTGAGGGGAGTGACCAGTAAAAGGAACTATGTACTAGTTTCTCTAAATTTACCAACTTCCTTCTCTACTAGAGACAACTAAGTCGTACAAGTTCCTCCCTGTAACAAATGCTATCCTGTTTTTCTGCATCCACTCACTTTGTAAAATGTGACACTGCTCAGTTGTTAATGAGATGACCTCGTCCTTCACACCGCATCAGCTTCCATGACATTCCCACACAATGTACCTGCCGTGACACTAATACATGCTATCATAAGGAATGCCATTCCTAAAAGAGAGGAAAAAAAAGTCTAATGAGCTGCTACAACCACATCATGATTCTAACTAAAAAAGAATTCTTAACTTCAGCTCGCCCATTCTCTTCACTCAGCCAGGTTCTGTGTGCATCTTGTAGATGCCCACTGCAAATCAAACCACTCTGCAATAAGAATTGTTTTCTATCCCAAAAGTGATTACATTCCTACTTGAGTCCAACTTTCAAATACTGTCAACTTTCCTTTAATAAATTTCAGACATTTAGATGAAACTCACTCTGCACTGGCATTGTGATTTCAGTATCTTCTTTTCATACTCCAGCACCATTTATACAAATGYGACTACTAAAAGTATGAGTTTTGGATTTTATAACTCCTGAGGTGATGGCAAGAGGAGAGAGTAAGTCTACAGTCATGTAATTCACATAAAAAGAATATAAGCGTTGGCATTATCTCCTCATGACAACAAAACTCATAATGAAACACAAGAAATTGTTTTTTGGGAGGAGAAGGGTTGGACTAAAGGTATTTTTTAATAAAGACTGTTCTTGATACCCAATGCACCACCTATATGTATGCTGTATTTCTCCTTAATGTTTTCAGTAAAATAATCCCAGCCAAAACACAAAGTACAAGACTTCTGAGTTGTACATATTGAAATCCGTCAGAAACTATAACAACAAGCACACTACATCATTTTTTTCCCACAGCTGCTCTAGCACTTCACCTGCTGATCTTTTTTACTTAGGTTTCTATAGCTACACATTAATAATTTCATTTTATATTCAGTATCATGAAAAGAAGCCAGGAAAACTGATCTGAAGACTTATGTTGATCCTAAATTGTAGCTATGGCTCAAGCCTGTAATGAGATTATAATAGCAACTACATAACAAAAAGCAACTATGCTTAGTTATAGCCATTATTCCACAATTTGTTTGCTCATTTATTTACTATTTTAATATATAGCAAACACCAAAGAGCTTAATGCTTTATACCTGGCCTAGACTTTCTAAGCACACCACAATAACTAACCCTCTCCAGATCTTCACGCACCACTAGAAATTGTTCTTCCTGAATAGAATTTCTTCCATTCTTTAACTGGAAAATGTCTTTGCTGCATCCTGAGGGTTCACCTTTATACTSATGATGATCACCAAAAGTATTGGCTATCAGCTTCCACAGAATAAGAACAATTTTTTTTCTTAGTCACTAATGTTCAGAAATATTCCTTGGCAATTTATTCCCACTTCTTCATTACCCGTGTTGCTAAGTTTTTCTTATTACCCAACTAAACACTTCCTCATTCCAATTGTTTCATATTATATCCAACAAATATAGAAAAAYTATGCAAATCAAATTGTTTCTGCAGTAAGAAAAACGGTGATTGCGTATGGAGTCAGTCTCCCCTAATAACCAGAGAAATAAGCACTCAAAAAAGTTCCTCTATCRCCTTCCAACATTTAAAATTTTAATGAAGTGACTTCTCCTCAGCTTGCATGACTAAGGGAAATCTGCATAACATTTGTGATGCAGACACACAAAAGTCAGGTTTCCTAACTTTATCCTCCATGGAAAATTCAACCATACTTACCACCCCTCAGGAAGCATACACCAGGAAGTTTTGCYCATCCTGTGCTCATGCTACAATCCTGCCTTCCAACTTCAGCCCAAAAGAAACCCCCAAAAAAGACTTCCACTACAAGCAGATGAAAACCAAACCCTTTGGTGATGACAGTCTCTTGCCCTATCACAATTACAATTGGGAAAGAAACAGCTCAGAAATTCCTCCCTTTTATTGTGCATACAAAAAAAATACTCTGAGAAACTCACTTACCAATAACTTCCTCATGCATTCTGAAAAATTTCTATTATTCTGTATAAGGCACAGCTGACTTAACACATAATAGAAAAAAAACCATGAAGTGGTCTGATAGCATTTTTTCCATTTTGCATTCATAGCAAAATTAATATATTCAGATACATATTCATTTCCCTCAAAACAAGAAGCTGCAGACACCAGCCCTGACCATTAGACTGCAGACTCTTAGCTCACCAACATAATCACAGACTTCAAGAACACCACCAGTGTCTTGAAACATGATTTTACCGTATATTAGAAATACAATAGGTTGTTTTCCAATTCTTTCACCAAGTTTCTGCATCAAGCAAAAAAGCCCACCTCCTCATGCAAAGGACTTCTATTTTTCAGTATGTATTGTTTCATTCTGTTCAGTTCTGCTAAACAGAACAACACTTTATAGCTTAGATGGGAAAAAGATCTGTAACTGGCATGCATAAGGCTCCTAAAGCAATCAAAACCCCCCAACAAATAGATCTGGCCACTAGATGGCCTCCAGACAGCAATTTCATGCAACATGGGCGGCTACCACTAGATGGTGGCTACATATCACTAAGCGACTGCAAAACGCAGGCAAGCTCGGTAAAAAGTTTTTTTTTACTATACTTCACTTGAATAAAATGCAAGTAAAGAATGCTAACTTACTGTTATACTTAAAAYAAATCTATCTGCCTCCACTTCCATCCCCAAGATCTTCCAACGCTGTACTTGACAGTCAGGGGAAGAGGTGGGTGAGCACATCTGGAACAAGCCATTTGYTCACGATCCCCTCACTAGAGAACAGTTCCTGATACATTTCTCCTACATTTTAACTATGCAGGTGAACTTATTTGAGGCTTTCTGCCACCTCTACTTGCAGCGTTTAAATACATCCTTCCCTGGAAAAAAAAAACCCAAAAGACAGTCTTACTGTAAATTTCATTTTATTATTGCTCTTAAATCTGCATACATCAACCTTACGGAGACTTTTCTCCTTATTGGATGAACATGAATACACCACCCACTATTTACCATATACCCTCATTGTGTTAAGCTCCTTTTTCATTTAATTCTATTTCCTAATGAAAATAACTAAAAATTAACATTACTGGTCTRTTACTATCTATGACTGTGCTTTTGTGGCTCCTCATACTATGAGCACAAACAACAAGTAAACTTCATCAATTTCCCTATGTAACCAGTATCCATAAGAGCCAACAGATCCCAATTAAAAATACACTTGCACAAATATCTTACAATGTATAATCACTCATTTTATGCATTTCCTTCACAGGCAAGCAAAGTCTGCAATAAAAGTCTCAGAACAATCRAGAAAAATTATGATCTACAGAGTATTTTTGTCCAATGTAAAGTACTGTTCTGTGCAGCCAGACTCATATATAAATAATGTTGAAAAAATGAGAAAGTTGCCAGTTTATCCTAGTAAACACCTGTACTCTTGAAGGTGGACACCAGGCTCTGAGAATGCAATTCACGACAATTGTGAGTTTCAGGACTTTAGACATATTAAAGCCAACAATCTCTTTGACCTCTAAGAGCAGTGCTAACGAAGGCCTGAACCACAACTGAAAAGTCAGAACAAGTTCACACAATAAAGGAYCTAATGAGATTAAAAACAAAAAGTTATAGCACATAGGAAAAGGTGAGGAAAACAAAGGAAAAAACAAAAATGAAGTCACACATGCCTTTGCCCCCAAGAATACACTCTTTCTATGCCCCACCTACAGAACAAGGGCAGACTACAAAACTCACTTTGCTACTCTATAAAYGTCTTTATAGATTTGCTGTGCAAGGCAGATACACGTTTTTATTGCAAGATGCAAACACCACACTGCCCCAGTATATCATACATCAACATGAAAAAAAGCTTCTGTGAAATCATAGTAACCTGCATCTGTAACAGTTAAAGAGATTGAAAAAAAAAGATTACAGAAGAAAGAACTACTATGAAACATAGGTTAAAAAACATAATGGAGATTTCAGTGGATAATCACTCAGCTTTAAACCTGATGAATTCTCCGCAGAACAGATATATCMCCAACACCAAACTTCCATCCAGGCTGCCAAACACATTTATTTCAGAGCAGGAAAAAATCCTCAGAAATTAGAAAGAAATAAGCAATTGGTAAAACTAACAGAGCTTCCTTRTAGAAAACAGTTTCTAGTTGTTAAATCTAGCTTTGCTTAATGCAGTACACAAGTTACAAGGCATGCACAGTGTGCACACAGTATGTGACGAGCCACAGGAGGGCTGGTAGCAATCAGAGGTTACCTGAAGACAATGCATTTTTATATGACAGTGGTTAGTTCAACCTGAAAATAAGTACGGTTCAATTTGTTCCAAAAATCCAACCACAGCTATTTTATTCACTACACTAACATAGCAACTTTTATACAGTACATCACCTTTCTCAGTTCTTTTCTAGTTAAAAATCAATTGCCAGATTCCCATGATCTGGCCTTTAATTCAAGTTGGTGGTCCAACTAGAAGATGACAGAATTTCCAGTGCTAGACCTTCAAGCATTTACTATGATTTTGCTTTATCCCCTTATCTGTGACAGAYAGCCACACAAAAAGAAAACAATGTATTTGCTGTATCTGGAACAGGAAGTGTTTATATCTTTTCACAGGCAGAAAAATCTGTTCATTACAGTACATTAATGCAGTTTACCACATCTCTTTTTTATATTCCACAGGAAAAAGGTACCTCAGTAGGTCTGGGATACAAGATAACTTACTGAAAAATGCCAACATGAAGATGCCATCATTGCCCACTCTAAGCTGATCTGCATCACTGAAATCATCCCGTGGYGGATACTCTTCTTCCTGGATTTACAGGTTAGTGTTAATTTGGTGAAAACTTTAGAATAGCTATCTATAGGATAAAGTATYTATCATGTTTCTAAAGCTAGAAGAAAATTGACATTTCTCTAACATGTCCACATCAAGGAAGATTTWAAAAAATTATTTAAAACTCTAAAACAAGTCTCATTTGTTGCTTATATTGACAGAGCCCAAATTTTCTGCAGAAGTTTCTGTAAAAAATATATACATACTGTCTATTCATCTAAAATGAAGCTAAAATTATTTCAATTAGTACTTTGACAATCAAAATCAACATAAATCTCTTTTTTTTACTGTAACGATCTTTGTATGTAGCCAAATTATTAAATCTTTTTTTGAAAAGTCATAGTATGCTTTATACTTTTCCAGCTGGAAAGGTCTTGTAATGCTTCCCTAAATATAAAATAAAAGTTCTAGAACAAGGTTAGTATCTTAAAATCAATTGTTGATGCAACAGSACTGCACTAACCAATTTTATATCCCATAGCAAAACATAAGAAAGGCACAGAACACCTCCAGGGTCACTAGAGGGCGCGAGCACGTTAAAAGTGTCTAAAAGGCTTCCAAACTCAAAAAGCACAGTACTTGAAGTTAAACAAAAGCAAAAAGAGATGTCAGTCAAAATGATCTAAAGATTTTTCCCATTGTGTCAAAATGCTGAACCTTAAAACACTCAAAGTGAGAGTTCTTTTGTTTCTCAGTACTCAATTTTCAACAAAACTTGACAGATACTAYATATGCAGTTCTATGGACAGGTGAAATGTTGCTCTAACAGTATCTGGCAAGCACAAAAGGTTTCATAATGACCAGCACTTCCTAAAGAGTCTGATGAAAACGAAGACAAATTAAACACCATTTTTATACTTAAATGAGTAACATCAAACAATGGAGGATGACATAAKTTAAATAGTGTTGTCAGTAGCAGCAGTAATATGGTCTAAACAGAAGCATAGGTAACATTCCTAATTKTTGCTATTAACACAATGTATTAGAACTGTCGTAAGAAATTACCTATAAAATCAAATGAAATCAAYGGAGATCCGTTCAAGTGAAATTTACTTGGCTGTTTGATCCACAAGCACTTACTGCAGAAATAATGTTTATGACTAAAAGGGCATTAACCAAGTACAGTGACCTAAAGCTCTGTCATGTGATTCATGTTCCCCTTTGTCAACAGAGCAAAATAATTAACAGGCTATGGCAATTAGGTCAAAAATGTGCTCAAACGACTGCTGTATCAACTCATAGCAGTCAGCTTCACCCTTAATAACATGGCCATGAAATTCCAGCTGTGCTCTGTATTTCAGATTAATTAACCAAGACACTGTATCAGATAACTTACTTTAAAAACACTGCTATTCACACAGACAATTCCAAGGGATGCACAAAAAGCCAGCTAAACAACAATCTTAAGGGACTATAATTCAACTCCACATAATGTCAGGTATCCCTTAATAGTCATCTTAAGTGATTAAGAAAGCATTCATGTATTTAGCTCAACTTTGCTGCAGCTACAAGACTGATGGAGAGGAGGGGAATGGAAGGATAGGAAAGGCTGAAAAGGCACTAAACTAAGAGCTGCATTTGAATGTGTTTATCTCTGAAATGCATGCCATAAAAGTTCCTTTTTCAAGTCTGGACAAAAAAAAGGTATCTTCAATTTTACTTTCACAAGGTCTACAAAACCCCCTAYATAATTCTTGGACTTTTTTTTAAACTGTCAACTAAGTACTGTACTTCACACTGGCATTTCCAAAACTATTAGTGGATTATGCTCCATGCAAAAGTTGCCTCAGAAAAAAGAAAATTCTGCTCAACAGCTGTAACAAATTTAGCAGAAGCTTCTCTGAGGCTTACACAGGTGAGAAATACAGGTCAATAAACAGAACTCAGGAACATGAGAGCAGACATTTGCAAGAAGGACTGTTATGTTAAGCGTGAACAAGTAGTAATTTATCACACTCAATGTCAAAAAGGAAGATGAAACTGAGTTCTCTTTACTGTCTCCAAAAACTGGCATAGAAAAATTATGAGAATATTTAAAAAATTAAATAATTTGCCATGTTTAAATCACATTCAGCCTACATCTACATCATTTAGGATTATGCAGTTTTATGAGCAGACCTGCAAGAGAAAACACTAACTGACCGCTGCTCAAGCCCCACTATTACTGGCTGTCTTTCAGGGCTCTCATTTGATGTAGTCAACTGCCCTAGTCTTCAAAATATAATTGTTCGTAACCATGCACTGAGGAATGAAACAGGGCAATGAAGAACAACTGTCCTCTATGCTGATGCCAAGAGTTAAACATTTTTATAAAATACTTCTGTTAGTGACCTTTTTTCAATGAGATTGTGTATTTTATTATATTTTTTCTATCTTTATATTGTGTATTTTATTTTTAAAAATATATTTTTCTTTTTAATGAGAAGATTGTAATACAACACACACAAATCTGTAAGATATGTAACACTGTTTCAGTATCTCATTGATTCTTGACAAATTTAGCAAAGTTAAGGAAGACAGACAGCATTTCTTGCTTTCTAAATAAGCTGACATCTGTAGGAAYAGAAAACTTATTGCTCCTATGACCACAGAAATCTAATTGGCAAATTATATTATCAACATAAATGGCATGTCATACAGAGTAATTTCTCTAAGCAAAGGAACATCAAATGGCACCCAGCATCTATTGAAGTTGAATCTATTAACTCGCCAAAAACTACAGTGCTCTCTGTAGTATTCTGCAAGAGGAAGACTATTTTTTCTCCTCAATATTTATCTTTTTATCAGACTGAAATCTAGCATGGCATATAGTGAGACAATCACCTTTAATCAAGTAAAGAACCACTAAACTGATACAACTCTTCCCAATGCAGTGTTTACAGAGAAAAACTTCTGAGGAAAGGGTTAAATTACTTAATAAACCCCATAAATGTTACCTTCAGCATACAAACCAATATGAAGAAATTGATAGGGGAAAAGGTACAATTAACCCCAGAAGCATTTGTTTGCCAGCAAGAAAATTCACAGCAAAATCTAAACTAGAGAGAACTATACCATACCTCTGGACGACTGAGGAATATTTCATCAAACAGACTCCTAGATTCCCTAAACTGGGCGTGCTAAGCATGTAAAAACAGAAAAACATAAGACAAATGCAACTGAAAAGCATTAAGTAAAAGCCATTCTTTGCAACATACAAACAAGTTATTAAACTGTTAGCAATATTTTTGCCCATTTAAACTGACCTCGAGAATTTGAAAAGAAAAAGCCAGGATAACTAATGCTATCACTGCTGATGACACAGGGCTGGTACAATTTCTTTGATACAATGAGATATCTGGGAGCATTTGAAAGGAATACATGTTTATACACAATCTATTCCTGTAAGACAAGCTACACCAAGAATTGTAAAACTACTGGAAGTTTCAACAAATGTGAAGTTTAGATAGTTCATATTATCTGTTAATACAGGGCCTGTAATGAAGTATTTAATACGATCACATTAGAGATCTTTTTTTAAGAGCCCTACATGMTTTGGGGGAAAAAATACAAAAGATGCTTATTAAATGTGCTGCCCTTTCATGTCATTTTCCTCTCTTTTCCTTAATGAGTAGATTTGTAACCTCCTTCACTGCACACTTAGGAGTATACCATGAAAATTATCAGTTTACACATCACTCAAGGTAACATTTAACTTTTACCAGCTATTCACATTATTGCAGTAAAGAGGCATAATATATAATATATATCCTATACATATATCCATATAATATATCCTCAGCTTACAAAGAAGAAACCAGAAACATAGAACACAGCAGAGTTCATATTTGTAAGAGCACTAATTTCATAGGCTGAATATAAAAACTGAAAAATCTATGTTGCATCATTTGTCTATGTTATGCAAAGTGTGCAACATGCAAGTCAGACAATGTCTGCAGCTGTCACTTGGGAAAGTGAGAAAAACAATTAAACTTTGAACTACTGTTATATAATTACTTATCTGTTCTTCCATGGGTATATTAAGAGATAAATCTTTCCCCTATAGAYTGCAAACCACCACTCCAAATGTAACAAAACCTTTCTTTCTTATTCCAGCCATCTGCCACATTAAGAGTCTTACTACAAAGTCTTAGTCCATCTCAGAAGAAGTCCAGAGGTATTAAATAAGGTAGGGATTTTGTGACASTATCACATGGTAAGATAATTAAAATGGCAGTAATTAAAACTGCACTGGCACATTATTTTAGTATCATCTGCAAAACTGAAACCCAGTTCCAGCATTTCTTACTTTTTCCCCAAATCCCAATTTGGCAACCTTAACACTGTTTCTCTAATACAGCTTGTGAATGTGCATGCATTTGCTTAAATTAAAAAAAAAAAAAAAAAAGAACAAAAAAACACAGAAGCAAACTGAGAATAATTACTGCCAAACTTGAGCTCTACAGCAGTCAGCAAGAATGTGACCTTCAGACACACTGTGTAGAGTTTTGATACTTAGAACTGCCATAACTCTAGAACTTTTTAGTCAATCTCTGCTTTGGGGAAAGGATAGCGTGTTCCTACTGATTTTTCATAAAAAATGGAATTCTTGTGTCAGCACATAGTTCTTGAATGTCAAGTTCTCCTGTATGTTCTAGCAAAGCAGACAGAAAAAGTTTCTCACTTCATCACTGCATCGACACTCTCTTGCCTCCTAACTCCAGATTCCTTTTCCCTCCCTGCTCTTTTGTCATACAACAGCTTCAGCTCCTTTCCCAGTACTATTTTGTCCCCACTTAGGTTCCATTCTTCACCAACCCCAGTTTATATTTTCCCTTTCTGTTTCTCATTGAAGTCCTTCTACTCTGTCCATACCATTGCTCTCCATCCATCCTTGCCTTTTCTTATATTGACTTAGACCCATCCTCTCTGATACCTACCAGACCCAGTTACCTCCTTGCTCAACCAAAACCAGACTTCTCTTCCCACAAGAGAAGCCATGCAAGGTTCAGAGGCTCAGCCATTGTCCTTGTTCCCTCCAACCACTACTAAAGACAGCTGAATCTAGCAGCTTTCCCGTTCTCTTCTAACTGAAGGTTAAGAATAATAAAACTGCTTCAGGGCAAAACAGCAATTACTTTTTCTCAGGTCTAATATTTTCAGMAAAAACAGTCAAGAGCAGCCATAAGGTGTATCTGCTTTCAGTTCTGTAATTCTACTCTGATACAGAACATCTGAGAATGTTCTCTGGGAACAGCACATCTAAGTCCCGTACCTTCAGAGCTTTGAGCAGCCTAAACTTTTGCAAGACTATCTCCATGAATTTACAAAATTTAAAGATATATGTATCAACTGAGGAGATTTGTTGATTTCTGGTTTGACCAAAACCAGGCATACTGTCTGAGGAATGCCAAAAGATGTTTCTGTCAGAGACCTAAACTTGTAAGAAACAGTAAATAAAAGCTTAAAATGACAAGACAAAAAAATCTTCTTGCTTTGGGGTTTTGTTTGTTTTGCTTAGCTTTAYTCTTGAAATTTGCTAGCTGTCAAGGGAGAATGCCTGTATGTCTGAAATTTGCACTTCATAAGGTTCTAGATGTACGACATTAAACCCAGAATCTTGCGAGAGCTGCATATCCTTTGCAGCATCAGAGGTACTCTGAAAGTTAGGGTTTGGGTTGTTAATGTTCCAAGTTTGTAATTTCAGAATAAAGGTTTCATTCAGACCAGTATTTCAGCAAAAGTTTTACTTATGTGACAAGCAGTAAGGACAGGATACAAAGAATCCATGCTCCTGCTAGAGCAGATAAAACATTACAAWGCAGACCATCCCCTCACGTAACCATTCAAATGTCTGTGGTTTCCTACAGCACTCAGTCCAACTAATTTGTGTGACACCTTCACTTGTGATGTTACACAAATCCACTTCAGCTTTAGCTGTGCATACCTTAAAATGAGTGTTGTGCACTGTCAGTGTTGTGTAGCAGTCAAGGAAGGACCTGCCTCCAGTTGGGTGAGCAGAGATTTTTTTCCCAGTCACAAGCACACTGCAGCCAGTAAGACTTTAAATATATATCAAATGTAATTACATTTGATCTCAAGGAGGAGATTTTTAGTGAAAGCACTAGAAGCCTTTTTTTGGGTATAGTATATTATGTTCAATACTACCAAGCAGCAGAATTTCCGCATTCCTGTACTTGAGATGAAAGAAGAAACTTGCTTACAAAACTAACACTTATCACTAACTGCAAACCTCAAATTTCTATTTGAAGACTGTATTCTCACAAGATTAATTCTTACAAAACAATAAACACTGAATATATGCCTATTTACTGTCCACCACAATTCATGTAGGTGCTTTTTTTTTAAAGTACTTGGAATATTTCTTTGAACCACAGTATTTAAGTTTCCCTAGATCAAACAACAGGAACCTTTCCTTTTAAATAGGGCAAACGTGATTTGGGGCCATGACCCTCTCAGACCACTGGAATTCTCCCTTCCTTTCTAAAGGTCTTTGGTAATTATCTTGTTTTTATCATCTAAAACACTAAATTATCAGCAATAACTCTACAAAGTAATATTAGTATGGGATATCTAATAAAGTTGACTAAATACAGGATAAACTATTAAAACATGGCAAAATTTGGCTTTTAAAGCTGTTTATACAGCAGCTATATTGCTCAAAAGAATGAATATTATTGCTTTTCACAGTATTTTACAACCAACTTACACTATCTATATAAACCTAAACATCCAAAATATTTAAATCATCAGCACACCATTATTATAGCAATGGGTCATAATACAGGCCTGATTGTTATAAATAATTAGACTAACACATTTCACAAAATCAAAATACAGCATAACTCTATCACTTACTCTCTGGGCAACTTCAGCTGCAGCCGCTGCCATTGCGGCAGCCTTGGCCTTCTCTGCTTCATCGTAGGTAGGAAGAGAGGTAGCTACGCTGTATGGAGGTGGTACAGGATAAAATTCATTCTGTGTCTCTGTTCAAAATAAAGAAGTTATTTATTTTTAAACCAGAAAATTGTCAAGAATATTAACTTTTATGTGCATATAATTATTTACCTTGAAAGTATATTTTTTTACAGAAGTTGAAACTGAGGGTATTTGCATTTTAAGTTCTTAAAAATATTTTTAAAAGAAAAACTTCTAACAGCTTGATGCTACTTATAGCTGCTACCCAAGGCAGAAGCCTTAACCTAGATGCTGGCAAAGACTCAACATATTTATGAACAAAAAAATCATATTTGTTTCGTTGTAYCCCTAGGCATTCCAATTAAATGCTTTTAATCCAATCATACAAAACACACACACAAAATACTTGTGGAAAAAAAGCTTTTAAGAATCAATATCAATCTGTCACTTCAGAACAGTAATAGTCATGTTATACTCTTATYAGTGGCCTTGTTGTCAACTCCAGTTGCTCTCTGAAAACCATCTTTCCAACATTTCAATTTCAACACATTCTTTTCAAAGTGTTTCTTCCATCAAAATGGACCACAGACTTYATTCTTCTGTGTTGTAACAGTAAACCATCACCACATAGAATAGAATTATTAAAAACATTAATCAAAAGTACTTAAAATACACCTTGAGCTTCCTCCTACAGCCAGCAGTAGGTAATTACGAGGCTGCTTACGTGGTAAAGATTTGTCAGCACAGGTCATGTGGTCAACAGATTTGATAGCACACCAACACAAGGATGTTATATATAGGGATAATTCCGCACAGCTCTGCATTATACTTGCAAACACTGTCTCAACCAACAGGGACAGGAAACTGTTCTTTTAACCAACATGAAAAAAATTAGCTTGGCAGTTACTTCTAAAATATTTATTTGGCACAAGGGAGACACAAATCTGTGCAGCTTTACTTAAACAGGAACTTGGATGATGCCTGCTGTTAAGTTTCCCATATCCCCAAGAAAAGTGACAATATCCTAAAAAAGGGAGCAGCRAATAAATGGATGTAGAGACCCATTACTCACTTTCCATGAGAAGTTTTATCAAGAGTCTTTAAAGCAAAATTAACCTTTTCATGGCAATATTTTCACCAAATCACGTCACACACTTAAAATGTCTGAGGGTTTTTTTCATAAAGAGGCAATGAAAATTGCTAATGAGKTCTAATAATGGAGCACTACTCAAAGATGTAGATTAAATGTGGAAATTAACTACAAGCAGACTTAAATAAAACTTATTAAACTAATTAATTAACATCCATTTAGTCTAGCAATTTGGAACATTCAGTGTAATTTACAAATGTGCTCCTTCTGAACAAACCAAAGGGCTGCACATGAAAGGAGTGCTCTTCACTGCAATTGTGCACATGGGAAAAAAAAATAATGCAGCATCAGACCACCTTGAACAGAGTGCTGATTCATACACACTCTTCCCGGACAAGCTGTTAYGTGAGAAACATACCTGAGGTTGCAGCTGCTTCCACAGCTATGCTACAGTATGGTGGAGGGGAAGTATCTGCCTCAGGTAAGGCTGCTGGCTGCGGGGGCTGCGGAGTCTCTGTAGACGTGGAAGGCTGCGCAGCAGCTGAAGACTCTGGAGGATCATCCTCATTGTGAAGCTTAGGAGAAAAAAAACACACACATTTCAGAGGTATTCAGGGGACATGACAACCTAATACTTGAAGAGACATGTTCATAAAGAGACAAGATTACTCTGATCAACAAATGATTTACGAAACAGCATGTGACCACTTGAAGTAGTCCAGCTAAATTCTTTTCAGCAATTAGCTAAAGATTATCTTAACTGCTTTCCTTTTTTTTTTTTTTTCCAGAAATGGTTTTCTTCTCCTCAGTGATGTTCAGAGAGTCTTAATCTGGAGTTTTCAATATTTGCTATATAGGAAAATACTATTACATGAATATTTTAACACTATTCCATTTTTSTTCTTATATACAGTCATAAAATGTATTAACCTATTCTAAAACACATCAGGTGAGAAATGCTATCATTTACTGTATTGATCTAGAAGAAGAAAGATTAAGATAGATTTCTRCTTCTGTAGGTGAGGCTTTCATTCTCTTGCATCTTTTCAAAGAGTTTCTCCATGCAAATTCTAAGACTTCAAAATATTCTGCTTTTCTTTACACTCTGGAAACAATCCTTTCCTTACAAAACTTCAAGTTGCTGGTTGATTTTTTTGCTTGATTAATATGTAGTTTTAACAAGACATGTCCAATAAAGCATATACAGATATAARAATTTGGATAAGCAAGAATGTCGATCAAAACCGTGGAATTCAGATAGAGCATCTAATATCTTTTCTTAGAGAAGACATTTTTGATTGTTTTAGCTAACTTGATAGTGCTTAGAATATAACAAGCTTTTAAACAGAAAGAGWACTAGAATTAAACAAAAAAGTGTTATCTCCCAGTGGTGTGAGCTACAAGATGCCTAGAAGGCAACAACTGAAGCACCACATGTAAAACTCAGACCAGAAGATAAGAGTAAGTTGAACATACCTAAAAGAAGAATTATATAACTTGAAATTGGTACTTTATTAACATCTTACAGAAAAAAATATTATTTCAGTTAAAATTAAGAATATGATTACAATTAYTTCCAATTAGGTGAAGTACAATCAGATTACAGGGAAAAGTGCACTCTGAGAAGAAAGAATGGTAAATTTCTATTTAAGCAGTGTAACACCCACACCAAAATTCTTTTAATATGTAGACTATATCAAAGTTCACAGAATAATTGGGGTTGAAAGGGACCTCTGAGCCTATCTAGTTCAACCTGTCTACTCAAGGAGACACATACAGCTGGAAATATGAGACCACATCCAAACACCTTTTGAATACCTTCAAGGACAGAGATAACACAKGTTATCTGGAAAACCTGTCTCAATGCTCAGTCACCTTCACATTACTAAAAATAAGGAGAAAAAAAAGTGAAAAAAAATGTTTCCTGGTGCTCAGAGGTCACCTTCAACAGAAATGATAGGTGTTTTTGAGGGTTTCTGGGTCCTGAGCAATCAGGTCATTTAATGCCTAATCAGTGATCCAGAAACAGCAGTAATATGAGCAATATTTTTAGCCATTTAGAGTAGTTAAACCCAAAGGAAACAAAAGCACTTCAAAATAACGTAATATATTCTGGGATACAGAAAGCAAGTGAGAATACAAACCACTCAACTCTAAAAAGATCAAACAGATCAGAAAAACAACCTGAGAWCTACAACTATTATGGTTCTAAATTAAGAACAATCATTCACAAGAAAAATCTAGTATTGCAAAGGACACAGCCAAAATAAGCCCATTCTTAAATAAAAYTGTCATTCAATCAGCTGGATAGAAATAAGAAAACACTACTGGCATAGTTCTTACACTATTTCCCAGTACAGTGACCCTCATTTGAGATGAGTGTGTAGTTGTTACTACCCCACCACAACAACCTGATCTTTGGGCAGGGGAAAAAGTAAAGCCAACTTAAATGGATCTCTGACTTCCACTCTTCCTCTCCTGTCACCCTTCACTTCAATCATTGCAACTTTTCTTTCCTACCATGCCACAGCAAGTGCAGTCACTATTCCGAAGATACAGAGATCCACAAGCACATCATTGGTCAAAGAGCATATTACTCGAAAAAACCCACTTTGACATTCCCCAGAAATTTAATTTTACATCTTTACATGCTTTCCTGAAAGCTGTTTTACTCCAAATTATCTGTAATATACTAACAGTGGAGTAATTTAGTAGATGATRGAGTTAACATGAAGATCAGACAAGAAAATATACATCAGACTTCTTGCCTTCAAAGACAAAGTTAACAAGTCATTCAATTGTTATAGCAACTGCAATTAGGAAATGGAAAAATTCCATCCTAAGGGCTCCATACAATAGAGACCCATTATACCCTTTAGTGAACTCCAAGTGTCATTATTTTGTAAAACTTAATTCAGTAACCAAGTATTTCTATTTATCCTCTCTTCTATTATAGAAGCCTCACAGAAATTCTGAAAAGCACCAAGGTTATCCTAATGCAGCAACTTAAAGAAAAATCCTGACCCCTTTAATAAAAAACAAAACTAAAAGAAAAAAACCACAAGAATTGGATAAAGTAGGTTGAATGTTTACAGTTAGAATAATACACACAAATTGTTCCATGAACACAAACCAGCTTTTGTTAGCTCTTGTTCAAGTGTCCTGTCTCCTACTCTCTCCTCAAGGCAGTAACCAGCTCCTTCCAGAGGTCTGCTTCACTGGGTCAAAAAACAACACAAAACAAAAATCCACAATTGCAACAGAACTTGCCCCAGTAAACTGGAAATTTTGCCCACACAAGCAGAGTAGACAGCAGTGGTTATATCATTTTGTCTTGTAGCAACTCTGCCCTCTCTTCATACAGCACTGACTCTCCTCTCTGGAGTCACCAGCTTGCTTGAACCCAGTAGGTATCTGACCACCTTTGAGCCTCCCCCTTCACATTTAATTTTGGCTTCTACTGGCGGTAAATTTAGAAGTTATTTTTGGAGACAGGAGAAGAAGWGGCCTGACACTCTGCATAGGCTTCATTGCCATAGAAACCAGCTAAAAACACCCAAAAAGGAACAGAAAAAGTCTGTTTTAAGGCATTAGTTATGCTATGTGCTTAAATGTCACCTGAAGCAGCATTTAACATTAAAAGTATATAATTAGTATCCAAGATTTTCTTTTTCCAGTAGTAAGAATATTTTGCCTACTTTTTAATTAAAGGACTAAAGAGAATTCACAGTTCATTATCTCAATCCCTCCTAAGCCCCCACTGAATCATGATTTGGTAGTAAGCAATATATCTGCTTTTGTCAAGATAATGGTCAAAACAGTTACCAAGACCTATTAAACCACACGCAACTGTAAATTAATATCTTCTCCTATTCCCTCCCTCCCATTTTAAAATGACCCTGCATTTTTTTTCCTTCATGTTTTMGTCTGTACTTGGGGTATCTGGCTGATTATATGGAGCTTTACTATATAAAAATAGTACTTTGCTATTAGACAAATTACTCTTAAACTGTTAATGTCAGTATTTCAATCCCTGCTTTTGCAGCCCTTTAGACTACARTACTATACAGGCTCATATTATCTATATTACGACATGTAAAATTCAAAAATCAGTTGAGGAGCAATGGCTCTTCTGCCAACAATGACTCAATCTCATGGTAACTACTAAAGGGTGCACAGCACAGGAAAACATAATAGTTTCCTTCAGTATGATTTTTACCTTATCCTATCTTCAGTTTCCTTCCCAGAAAAGATCTACAAAATAGTGACTCACTATTTAATTTCAGAAGAAGTTAAAATCAATGCCAGACCATTCAACACCAAAATATTGTATAAAACACAGCTACCTTTATTTTCGACTTTTATATTAGTAATATCTTTAAAGAAGAAATTATTCTTCTACAATGTACACAATTATTCCTTCTACAATTGATTTTTTGAAGTCTGTTATTTTGTGTAATTATTTCCAAAGTAATCAGAGGCAACATGTGAAATCAGCTGACACCTTACAAACAAACACAGCCCATGAGAAAGTGCTTAGAACGGAAGCTTTTGCTTAGGAGACTGATGCATATACTTTAGTTATTATTTTGATAAGCCTAAACATTTAAAAGTGGAAGATTTCATTCYCTGTTTAACACTTTTCATGTACTTGCATATAGTAACTTTATCTGACCTAGAGAACTTTGCTTTCCTGGCTATACAGAGTTTGCTTCATTTTTGATGAACTGACTGATTGTACAAGAGTGACAATATAAGCAAGTTATTCAATTATGCCATTAAAAAAAATCAAGGGAAAAGGATAAAATCAGATGTTTTGTGTCACCTTTACCATACATACACCAGATTAGAATGATGCACTCTGAAAAACTGCATTGAAGCAGCATACACCAATTCTAGTCATAGTGTAACACACAAACACCACTCAATTTCTGTTACCTGAACTTACATTTCAAAAGCTGATCTTTACTCCTTTTGTAAAATATGACTTATGGAAACCAGTACATTATAAAATTATTGCAACACAATCACATTCAGCAGYATACTGCAGACATTTTAAAAATCCTTTTTTTATAAACAGATACTTTTTTCATGCTACTTATATAATTTCATAAGTGTAGCACAAAATTATGCATGAGACACTGCTACACAAGTTAAAAACAAAACAGTCCATTGTGTAGGCAAAACAGTCCAGTGATACAGTTCCTTCACAAAAAGCAACACTCTTGGCAACTGAGGTTTATCATCTTCACTTGTTACTTTGGCCTTCTATTATCAATTTTTCAAATATCCATTTATTGCAGCTTGTAGCATTGGAGGGAAAGGCATGACGGACTAAAGATTGTCAGTGCAGAGCACAAAAAGACCTAACATTTCTCCATTAGATTGATGACTTCTTGCATACTGGGACACACATATTTCCACAGAAATCATAACATTGTAAATATGAGAGGTGAAACCAACAGCAGCTTGAAAAAAAAAATCACCTTCATTAAGCTTACAGGGAGTTTCTCAGATCTCTGTTACTGAGACCTGATGCTTTCATTTGCTGAAAAATTCAAAGTTCTTTTACATT